TTTGATGTTGATGTTTTAGTCGATAAGACCAAATGAAATGATTCCCAGTATCTCGTCCAGATTTGTTGCGATATTTTGCCAATAAACCACAATTTAAAACATCCACTTATTGAAATATAGTCTTTGTGAAATGAACAAGACTCATGCTATGTTTAAATTACAATGAGGGAGGCAGTTATTATTACTGCATTGATATTCACAAAAAGAGGTTGTCAGTTCACTTGATGTCTGTTTTCTTATCCAGATTTAAAAAATGTTTTCTTCATAGATCTACACTCTACAGACATCTAGACAAAATTGAAACAACCATTAATTGATATAAATAGATAGTCGAAACTCTTGCAACAATGCAGTTATTATCTGCACATTCGAGTACATGTACAATTAGATTTTCAGTTGATCATTGTTCTTATTTTACTATCGATCCGAGCCTCCCAGTTAATGATCAAATCATAATACATAAAGCAACTTTGAATGCTGTTTGTCCCAGGTAATCTACATGTACAATGCAAGTGGAATTCTCTGTCACACTCAGCGTCAATTGAACTTCAGGAGAACTCGAGAATACTTTGATGGGATGCTTTCCAACAACAAAGACGCCAGTACTATTTGTTCCCATTCTCTGGCTGCCCTAGTCTGAATGTTGTATAAAGAAACGTTCAACAAAACGTTGTCAAGTTTTGTTTTTTTAAATAAAAACTTGATAAAGAATCAGGGTCCCACTGTAGTCTGAACGTTGCACCGTACAAACAAATTGTATAACTGGGCGGGGCTAATTGTGAGCACGCACTTATGATTGGCCAGTTGTCATGTCTACTGACTTTGTCAAAAATATTTTCTAGTCTTTATGCTCCTTTTCGTTATACCTTAATTCTTTATATGACGTTTCTTTATACAATTTTTATGTCAAGGACGAAGTATTCACTGGAGGTATATATATATATAGGGAAATGTAGTCTGAACGTCGTACCGTACGAAAATCATAAAACTGGGCGGGGCTTATGGTGAGCGTGCGCTAATGATTGGCCAGCTGTCATGTCAACTGACCTTGTCAAAAGTATTTTCTTTATACAAAGTTGTTTTTAGTCTGTACTCTTCTTCCGTCATAATAATTCTTCATATATGTCGTTTCTTTATACAGTTTTTATATAAATTTCCTACATGTATATATAGTCTGAATAGGCTTCCAAGGACAAAGTATTCACTGGAGGTATATAAAGGGAAATCCCCGCTCTAGCCCATGCATTGGTCGCCTTTTTATACCTTGACTCCTGAAGGGGATTTCTTACAAACCCCAACCCCAGTGGGGGTAGGAAACCATTGAATTAAAGACAATCGTAAGAATGAGAATACACAGTGTTGTAGGGTCTGTTGAACTTGATGGAAGAGTTGAAAGAGAGAGAAAGAGATCCAGGGAAGCGTAGCCCTACAAGAGATGTTTAAAAGGACAACTCTTCTTTTAAGGCCTCAACAAGCAAACCCATACCCTAAGAAAAGTATTTCCTTTTTTTGTTTGTTAATCTTGTACAGTCCCTGGTTGTCATCTTTGCTTCTGATAAATAATATGAAGTGGCCAATATTCTATCAAAAATTTAGACTCAATACTTGGTTATAAAGTTGTTCATTGTTTTTATATGATCAAGGAACCAATGGAAGGGTAAATATCGATAAAGTGTAATTGGGAAAAAAAAACACATTTAGAAACCAAAGTTTTCCTATCTGTACTTTCTACATGCTACTTCTTTATCCATGGGCTTTGTCAAGACACCGCCAGTTTTGGGTCAATAATTGTTCATCATGTTGCCATCGTAGTGACTCGTGTGGTTCACCCAAGTCCTGGCCAAGGGATTCAGGCACGAACCTCAAGAAATCTTCCAACGGTGATTCACAAGACAAATGTACTTTTGTTATCGATCCTGATAGAGATTTCATTGCATTGCGTTGAAACAGTGTATACTGACAAAAAGTCCTACCCCTAAACAGCTGCGGATTTGCCCAAAGAAAGGTGGAGTCTAAAACTCTCAATTTTCAAGACAAATCTTGAGACCTGATGGTTTATAAGAAAGATGATTTCATTGAAATCGAGAAGTGAGAAGACTGAACTTCTTATAAAAGTGATTTGTAATCTAGTCGGGAAGATATATGTAGTAACTCTATCAGTGTAGAAAAAAAGAAAAAGGAAAAGGGGTAGAAAACAAAAATAATACACAGAAGCTCATTTTGGATCTACCATAGGAAGTCTTAATTTTCTCATGACAATACAAATTATTAAATTTCCTTTTTACCAGATCTGTGTTAGAGCTTACCAGAGCTAAATCTTAAGCTACTACCATGTATCTATTTTTTTATTTTCTATTTTTGTTTACTTATTTATCTATTTTTTTGTAAAGGTCCATTTTGAGATTGAGCCCTATTATTTGTTCTGCTGTATAATGATGACTGGCATATCGCTCTCTGGCTCCACAAGCCACATTGCTCGTGTATTTCTCATTTCTTTTCTGACTGCCATCGGAGCAATTTGAGTGCAATGTGTGAAATTGTCTTTGATCTTAGGCCAGAGAAGATTCTTTTGGAAATTCAAATTTTGCTACTTTCGAATTTGAGTGGCAGACTTTCACTTTGAGAGCAAATGAATATGGAAGTGGGACGTTTATCAACTTGATATTACAACAATGACTGACATACTTCATGTGTACACTGTAAGTGTTAATCAATCGTGATATAATGGCAATTACATAGTTCGTGAATGAACCTGGGCAATGAAAAGTAAGTTTGCGTTTACGGTACAGGAATTTCATTTAAACGTACAGTAGATATGCTATCAAAATAATCAGATTTTTCTTTGCGTAGTGATAGTACATGTAATGTACTACTTGTATGATACATTACAATGTAATGTATGTTGTTACAAGCTTTTTTTATTTTTATCATTTTTCTTTCTTCCAAATTTCGTGCTATCAAGAATTACCATAAAATCATACTCTTTTGTGACTTTTATCTTGCAACAAGTTTTACTGTAGGAAACTTCCATGAATTACATTAAAAATGATTTATTTGTTAAAATGCACAAAACTTTGATAAATCTGAACCATTTGCAAGATTTTGCAAACATTTTATGCACCTGAAAGTTGCTGGTATACAAACAGTTATTTGATCTGTTCTTCTGTGATTTAAAAAATATATACTATTACTGGGTCTGTGGTTCATTTGAGGTTGGCATTAGCCGTTTGTTTATTTTTTATAATATTCCATTCAGAAATGCATGAACGTGTGTATAGATGTTTCTTAATTCAGGTGTTAAACTTGAAACTGAAATAGGTTGATGCTATAGCACCTATTGCATGAGTTTCATTGATAATTTGTGAAAGAGGGGGGTGGGACTGAGTGAAAAAGTGGGGAAGATTTGTTGTTATTTTTTTGAGGGGGAGGTAGAGAGGAAAAGCAGATGTTTCCCCTTTTGTGTTAAAGGATAGTAAACTTCACTGGTATCATCTGTTAAAATCCATATTTTGGTCAACCCCAAAAGTGCATTTAGTTTGTTATCCTACTGATTTTACACGGATTGGTGCCGAATTGACACCTTTGTAATCGAGTGAACCCCCTCGTGTACTTTCTTATTGTGGAGTGTGGCGTGAAAAATAGCAAGCACAAATTGTTGAAATCACTCGTTGCCCTCTCCCCCTACTTTTCTCTGCGTTTGACCATGAAACCAAACGCAAGGAAACAACTGTTGCAAGAACCATGCCATGCATTGGACTGATAAACATAAAATGCTCCAGTTTTGTTTTGTTTTCTTCAGATGGAGCAGCTATTGTTTCAAAACAAGCAGGGGGTCTTTTTATTTTGATATCAATCTGTTTTGAAAGATTCATTTTGTGATGAATTATAGTGATGGAAATTGTTTATATTACAATGTACATTATCAGAAGAGCACCAGTATTGATCAGGCAAAATGGCTATGAAGTGATGAAATAGAGAACAAAATTCTCTTCATAAAGTGAAGTTATAAATCAATCTGTTTCAAAGTCCTGATTATGAGAAAAATTCTAATGATGGAAATTATATTAAATTTATTGCGGAAGAGTACGTAAAAGATTCAATTCAGTCAAAATGACCCTTAAAAGAAGTGATGTTACAGATCAATTCATTTTTAACTCCTTGAAATTCTATGAAAATATTCCAGTAATTGAAATCATTTTTGAGCAGAAGAGGATGAATAACACTCGGGTCAATTGACCATGAGACAAATGGAAATTTGTTTTCACTTCTTAAAGTGAAGTGTGAGATAATAGAAACTGAAAAAGCTGAGTACTTATATATGATGGCAAACACTTGAACTGCATGTTTTGCAAATCCGTAATTCTTCAGTCTAAGGCGTATAACGAAAAAATGTCAGCTTTATAGACCTCCACGTTTATAAATTCTGTCGTTTGTCGCCACCCTTTTCATTCTTTTATAGACCGCGTTGCAGATACATGTACATTTGTAAGTAGCAGCTGATTGGGAAATCATTTACTGTTTCTGACCTAAATATTTTTCTTTTATCGGACATCGCGCTGGAATCCTGAATTATTTAAAGAAAATAATATGGTCTCATTTGTGGTGCTTTAATTAATTGAGCTGTAAATGATATAAATCATTTGAAAGTGAGATGTTCTTCTCAATCTCTGAAGTACAGAACATGGTTCAGACAACTATATTTGTGAAGAAAATTTCATGATGAGAATCGTTAAAAAGTCAAACCTGTCTACAGCGACCGCCCAAGGGAAACACAAAAAGTGGTCTTTATAGACAGGTTCCTTAAGTACATGTTTCAATGAGAAACCATTTTCAAAGGAAACAAAAAAATTGCTTGTTGAAGATACATTTGTAGGTGGTCTTTGTAGACAGGTGGTCACCAAAGCAGGTTAGACTGTACTTACACTGTATTTAGTGACGGAATAGATTTGATGAAACCCACCTTTTCAAATATTTTATTTCTTCTCATTTTTTCTTTGCAGGTCTCGTCGTCGCCCCTCCACTTTGACTTTCACCCCCGACAGTGACGGTCTATCCTGCCACCATACCTGCCTCAATAGAGATGTCCGACAGTTGGCCCCCTTCTCAGGTGCCCCCTGCCCCCCAGACCCCCACCGGGGGACGCAGCCAGGGGGGCAGACCACGCCCGGCTCGCCCACCGACGATGAATTGGGCAACGATGCAGAGGGCGTGTGGAGCCCCGACATCGAGCAAAGCTTCCAGGAGGCCCTGGCTATATATCCACCGTGTGGACGCAGGAAAATTATTCTATCAGATGAAGGCAAAATGTATGGTGAGTACCAAGATTCCCCTCATTCAGTAAAGGCATTTAATATCGAAAGGGACACTTCAGGCTCGTTTACATATAACGTTGAAAACTGTGACATGTGCTCAAGCGACTATTGCTCCGAGCTATATTTCGGTCGCAAGATACAGGGTTAGATTTAGGGATGCGATGGAAAATTTATTTCAATTTATGCAGAAACTCTAGACAAGTCATAAAGATTGTCCTACCTAGCAACAACTAATGTATGCAATTTGAATTTGAATTTTGAAATTGAATTAGTAACAGATGAAAGAAAGAATTTGTATCAAGGCGCTTTGACACAAAAATATGGTTACATTACGAAAATTGGTCTATTACCACTTGGCATGAGTGCCCTACATGTAGAACCTCAGATCTCTGTAACGTACAACAAGTAGACGTCCGAATCAAGACATCTATCTCCAGACCCTAATCCTGTCAATCATGACGTGCATGAAAGATGTCCATTTACAGGGGGATCATGATAATGGTACAAGGTGTCGGGGTAAAGTGGTCTTATTGAGTTCGGTCAGACACTTCATTTGTCTTCGCTGACATGTAGTATTTGCCTTGGGTAGATCTTGTGCATTCATACCCGAATAGCTTTCATACCTACCCCAAAACACGTTTGCACAGACGACTGTTTGCAGACTCACGCCTAGCCTGGCTCATAGGCAAAAGGAGTACATTTTGAATGGTCTCATTGCTACATAACCTGCAGAGACATGTAATTTGTAGCATCGTAAAGCTACTCAATGACCCAAGAGATAATGTTTGTCTTTGGGCTAGGCTAATACGGCCCTATTTTGTGATGATTTTTTTATTTCATAGAAAGTACTAATAGCAGGCTAGTTTGCACAGTACTTATGTACACTACTGCCTAAAGGTTTTGGCAGCGGGCTGACCCGATGCCCGAAGCGCGTAGCTGAAGAAACGATGTTCGGGTCGCGCCCGATGTTCGAGTCGCGCCCGAAATCTGCCCGAAATCAGCCCGAAATCAGCCCGAAATCTGCCCGAAATCTGCCCGGTACTATATTCGCCTTGAAATGATGCGCGTGCTGAAGTCGTGCGTTTTTAAGACTCGCACGCGACAAGACCCGATGACGTCACGTTGAAAAGTCAAATTGGTCGAGAAGAGCGATTCAACTGCAGATCAATTTGCCTATACAATTTGCGTGTTAAAATATGAATCGCACCGCACGAAAATTATACACAAATACACGTAGAGTGTATGGGAGAGTCGAGTGTATGTTAGGAAAGACGCTCACTAATTTGTTTTGGTGTTCACCAACTCTCACAGCAATATGAGTAAGGCAGCCTAAAGTCTAGTCTAGACCCCCTGATTTAGATCTAAGAGTGGATGACCACCGTAGGCTTTAGATATTTTTCTGCCAAACATCTTCGAGGAGCTAGGCCCAGGGTCCATTAAGTTAGCAGTCGCTAGCCGGACGGCAACGGGGACGGCAAACGCTAGCATGTACCGTACCACATCGTCATGCCTAGCCTAGGCTCTAGCCTAAACTTAATAAAATGGCTCAATTGAGCATTCATCAGACTAATGATATGAACAATTTGGTCTCACCTTACATTATGCCAATGACACATCAGTCCCTGTTTCCATATTTTAATTCCAAGGATTAAGAGATACTTTCTTTGCAACAGCTAAGTCATAATTAATACTAATAGTGCTACATTGTGTAGCCTGTAGGCAAAGCCTATGCTAATAACACTATGCATGCTAGATCTAGATTTTGGACGCACGTGGTACGCGAAGCTTATGTAGATATCTAGGTCAACTTAGGACCTATGCTCGCGCTGCTTGCATCACGTTCGTGACCTTAAAAAAAAAAAAGGAAGGCGAGGAAAAAGAAGAAAGGAAATAAGTAGAAGGAGGGGAGGGGGGAGAAAAGGAAGGAGAAGAAAAGAAGAAGAGTAGATGAAAAGCAGAGGGGGCGGGGGAGAAGAAAATGAAGAAGAGTAGATGAAGAAGCAGAGGGGATTGGGGAAGGAAAAAAGGCCCAAGGAGAGGAAAAAACAGAGGATATAAAGAAGCAGAGGGGGGGGGGGGGGGGGAGAAGAAGTGATAAAGAAGCAAAGGGTGGGGGTGAAGAAAAAGATGGAAGAGTACACCTGTAGATGAAGAAGCAGAGGGGATTGGGGAAGAAAACAAAGGAAGGAGAGGAAAAAAGAAGAAGGGGGAGAAGAAAAGGAAGGAGAAGAAAAAGAAGAAGGGGAGAAGAAAAGGAAGGAGAAGAAAAAGAAGAAGGGGAGATGGAGAAGCAGGGGGAGAAAACGAAGGAGAAGAAAAAGATGAAGAGTAGATGAAAAGCAGAGGGGGCGGGGAGAAGAAAATGAAGAAGCAGAGGGGATTGGGGAAGAAAAAAAGGAAGGGGATATAAAGAAGCAGAGGGGGGGGGGGGGGGAGAAGAATAGATGAAGAAGCAAAGGGGTGAGGGTAAAGAAAAAGAAGAAGAGTAGATGAAAAAGCAGAAGGGATTGGGGAAGAAAACAAAGGAAGGAGAGGAAAAAGAAGAAGGGGGAGATAAACAAGCAGGGGGGGGGGGGGGGAGAAGAGTAGGTCTGGTGAAGAAGCAGAGGGGCGGGGCCGGGGGGTGGAAGAAAAAGAAGAAGTGGATATGAAGAAGCAGAGGGGTGGGGGAAGAAAAAAAGGAAGGAGAGGAATAAGAAGAAGGGGGAGAGGAATAAGAAGAAGGGGGAGAAGAAAAGGAAGGAGAAGAAAAAGAAGAAGACAATCTAACTAAAAATAAGAACAAACATAGACACACGAAACAAGCAGAGAACTTATTAATCAATTCCAAATTTAATTTGTTCACCAATGAATTAAATGTTTGAATGAGGAGAGCTAGCGTAGCGTATATTTCGTATTATGTTAAAAGTGTTTCTAAACAAAGGGTACTTTGGAGACAAGGTGTCTGGCAACATGCGTTTATCTCAGAAGTTATTTAAAACAGATCATGTTTGCGCGGTAAGATCACGTGATCTAGTGATGATTGAACCTTCGAGAGAGAGAGACAGAGAGAGCAGTTCTGATTTTGTTCGAATCTTTCTCATCATCTTTTCTGTTTTTGCAATTCTTTGTTCCACCTCTCTCCCCCTCTCTCTCTCTCTATGCTTGTATATTCCCTTCTCTTGTTCATTACGGTTCTAGTTCTAGGAGAATTACCCTTGGGCAATCACCACGGCCAATTACTCCCCCCCCCTCCCCCCCCCCCCCCCCCCCCCCCCCCCCCCCCCCCCCCGTGGACATTTACATTTCCCTGGAAATTACCCCATTCCACAATCACCCCCTTGTTTAATTCCATGTTTTTCTTTCTATCAATCATGTATTTTCGATTATCATTTTTTCTTTCCATACGTAGATCTTTATGAAGCAATTATTAATCAGTCTTCTGGTTTCCTTCGTAAATGTGTTCACTTTATGTATTTCTTAGATTTTTTCAATCATTTTTTCCTCAATCCTCAAGTATTTCTTTGTTATTTCCTTATGTATTACTCGTTTTTCGAATTTTTATTTCCATCTATAACGTATTTTCATTGTTTATCGCCATGCTATCTTGTGTGTGTATTTTTGTGAAGTGGGGGGGGGGGGGGGGGGGCTGGAGTTTCTCTACATCATCATTTTAATAATCGCCATCAATACATACAGCCAGCATTTTCATCATCGTCCATCAATATCATCACCATCATCATCACTACGGTCACCATCGATAAATCGGTATCATCCAGCATCAGAACAACTCAACATCTCTTCAGTGACTGGGCAATAACTTTCCTTTTCCACACAAAGCGGTTCCCTTTAGAAATTTGATTTGTTTACTAAAGCTTTGTTTCGTGAAGTTGCCCTCTCACTTCAGACATGCATGCCGCTGCGGTTTGTAGAAAGAACAGCAAAGGCGTAAACATTGCGTAACATGCACTTTCTCTGTCGTCATGATGGTTCGTAGTAGGTCCATGCTGAAGGCTGGTGGAATTTGACAGGGGCCACGCGAGCGGCCACAGAATATTCATAAAACAATAATTTAAATGTAAATAACTATGCATCATGAGCCACTCGTGTTTTCTTAAGAACCCTTTAAAAATTGTGTTGCTCTTTACTCGAATATCGCAACCCTGAATCGCATTGATTCCACATTTGGCGTCCATGGTGCGAGCACGAGCATACAGCCAGTAGTTAACTAGCCTAGCCTCGTGGTTGCTGCTTTCCCTAACGTCCGCAATTAAGGCACACCTTTTTTCCGTCAGCAAAATATCGAAAGTCGGGAGTGCGCCTTAAATAGTCAGGAACAGGAACAGGATATTTGAGTCCTCAAATGCTACTTTTTAGTGGTTTTCAAAAATCTCTGTGTCTCAACATAAATTACATAATGCAAATAAAGAATAGGATCTACTATTTGAAGTTAAACTACGTTCCTAATTTGAAAGGAAGAGAGGGTTTTTTCAGTTTTTGTTTTCAGTCTCGATAAATTATGCCCTGTCACAAGGCACTTTGCCGGCAGAAGCTCTACCGTGTCTTCAGCTCACTCACCTGTATGATGCAGCTCACACAAGGGATAACGAATCACCACACGAAAACTAGCCTGTCCACATTTCTGTTTGGACTCGGAGGAAAATTCTGTCATCTTTAGTTTTAAAAACAACATTGTTACTGGGTCTAACTCAGTTCACAAGCACTTCAACCGTGCCTCGTAATAAAATGAAAGTATTTTTAACACTGTCACTGAAATAAGAGCCGATCTGATGTTAACAAAAAGACCAATGTTGGCTTTTTTTTGGTGGCTTTTTGTTAACCACATCAGATCGCGTCTTATTTCAGTGTTCGAAAAATACTTTCACTTTTCATTATACGAGGCACAGTTGAAGTGCTTGTGAACTAAGTTAGACCTAGGTCTAGTAACAACTAACAATGTTTTTTTTTTAACTAAAGATGACAGATTTTTTTTTTCCAGATTTTTTTTTTTTCTGATTTTTTTTTTTTTTTTGGGGGGGGGGGGAGGATCTTCGAAATAGAGGTGCGCCTTATAGTTTTGTGATTTGCTTTCTAGTATTGCGATGATGTATAGTTGTACGCTTTAAATTAAGACATGTTCATCATTGAAAATGGTCATGGAAATTTACA